GCCAGGAAAGCAGAGGGATTATCATTTTCAGATGGTTCACACAGTTAGGGTTTTCTATTTTGTTTTGTTTTTGCAAAGCTCCAAGATGATAGGGGAGGGAAAAGAACTTTTGTCCTCTGCCTAAAATAATTCAAGAGCTTTCCACTGTACAGGCCAGGCTCAAGTAGATATTTGCATAACAAACGAGCCTTCCTCCTTGCTTTTCAGCAGGGCACAGCAGGGCATACTTAACTGCCTCTGGCTGTTCCTGCAATTCTGGGGAAACAGTTATGTATCCAGCCTCAGCTTGTCACTGCACAGACTCCCCCTGTCCCATTGCTCAGCACATTGTTAACTGGAGTTGGTTGTGGGGGACTGGGATGGAAGTTGAGAGATCTTCCCATATCATTGTAAACCAAGGTTGTTGGATTTTTGTGTGTGTTTGTATACATACATACATACATACATACATACATGATTTTTGTGTGTGTATACATACATACATACATATATATGTATGTATACATATACATATGTATATATATGTATGTATGTATATGTATGTGTGTGCATGTGTATCTCTCTCTCTCTCTATATATATATATATATACACATTTTATCAAATCTATTGTCAAACTATTTCTGCACTGGACCTATTGGTTTTTGATCAAGGAAATTTTTCCAACAGTGTTTTGATTTTTAAGAAATGCTGCAAATAGTTTTGGAAAAACAGCACAAATGAAGATTTTTATTAATTCACATTTTTAATTTAATTCACATTTTATTAATTCACATTATTAATTCACATTTTGGATGTGAAAGATGGTCCAAACATGCGATACAGCTTGGTGATGAACTTTTCTGATGTTAGCAGGAAGAACATCAGTGCTTTCTGTTTTGTTCTACAGTTGTGCAGTTCTGGTACAAGAAACGACTCATGATTTGTGCATCTAAGCAAAACCACAAATAAAAAGAAAGAGCCAAACTAATCAACCCCCTAAAACTTTAACAGTCATTATTGTTCACATCAAGCTAGATAAACACCTTTATAATTTTGACTGCATCATTTATTCTGGAAGTGTTGTTTCTTGGGATTTAAGCTGAAGTGCCAACATGCAGATCTCACACCCATTCCTTTGGTGTTCTTCTATACTGTCTGCTTAAGTAGCCAGGTCCAAATTTTTCAGCAAAGCATGCAAAAATATTCACATTTTGCATGTTCTTGTTACCACCATTTTGTGGAGAGCCAAAATACCTCAGCAGTTGATGAGCCCAAGCTCTGCAAATCACTGCCCAGTGCCCACCTGCTCCTCCAGCAGAGAAAGTTGGGCTTACGCTTATGATCAGGGATACAAGGACATTTCTTCCAGAACTGGCTGGAGAAAGTTGATGGAACTGTATTATGCAAAATCAAAATGCCCTGTGAAATGGTCTCAATTCCCTTGGAATTTCATTTTTTTAATCAGGGGAAGTGAGGAGTTCCAGCACTTGTGAAACAGCCTCATTTGGGATTTGCAGTAGTGTTTTAGTTGCTCATATTTAAGTACATTTTGGGTTTTTTTAATTATATATCTTGCACAGAACATTAAAACTACAAAATGAAAAAAGTCCAAACCAACCCAAAGCCATACTTTGTAGCATTTTCCTTCACAAAGAATTTGGAAATGCTTGTGTACTGTTCCAATGTGGAGCAGAATGAAATTGCAAAGTCCCTTGCAAAATGAAACGTTTCTCTTCTGCACAGCTCTGCTTCTTCCTTCCTTCTACTTCACCTCCCCTACCAAACAGAAAGCTGGGTTCTGTGATCAGAAGAAATAAATCTAAATCTAGGCTTGAGATAAGGTGTAAGACAACTAAAGTGTGATTTTTTTTTTACAGTATATTTCAAACTCAGATCACTGCAAAGTGCCTTACAAAGTTAAGGGTTACATTTCTGTAGCATTAGCATTAGCATTGACAAAGCAAAGAGGGCAAATGCTAGATAGACGCTTGTGTGCAGACTTAGATACTTGGTCCTGTTCTGTTGCACAAGGAGATGTTGATCAGGGCACTGGAGTTACCTGTTGCTTTTTTTCAGATGTGCTCTAGGATCCTCACCTAGAAAAGCAGAATGGATCTCAGTTTAACATCTCACATCTGATTTCTTCCCAGCTTAAGGCAGGATCAGCTTTATTATGTCTTAGCCCTAACACCAGGAGCCCATGGGCCTGGGTGTGGGTTGTTAAGTTTATACTGAGTGAGAACCATAGTGAATGGCTTGTCCTGAATGGCTCGGGCAGAACCGCGTCCTCTAGAACCAATAGCTGTGCGCTGCCGGTAGACTCAGTTTAAGTTACAAACTATAAGTTCCCCCGATGTATTTTCTTTTTGCCTTTGCAGAACACCAAATGATGAATAGCATCTGAATAAAAATATCTACAGGGATGAGAGTTTGGGATGCTCTTTGAGGGATCTTTCCCCACTCCCCTTCTGCTGTTGACACCCTCACTTTGCCCTGTAAGAACTAAGATCAGCTGCCATTGCCACTACCCTGATTCTAAAGGAGGAGTTTCCTCTAGGACTTTCTCATGAGCTAACTGGTCATGTTGAGTTTCACATGCAATTTGGAATAAAGCTACAGCTCTCTTTAGCAACTGCAGAACAAGCAGTCAGAACACGTGGTCAAAGCCAGTGCTTTCCAGAGGGACATAAAGTTTTGCTGACATTTCCATTGGGAAAGCTTTTTTTTTCATGCTTCACAATCTGGCATCTAGGGTACCTGCTTAGCAGATCCATGTTCAAGTCCATGCTCTGACAGTTTTCAGATGAAAATCTCTGCTTCGAATGAGGTAAAATAGGAACTTGAGCCTGGTGGATATCCCAAGCGATCTAGCCATCGTGGTTCCAGCCTTCTGGTCCAACACAGAATGAAAACCGATTGGGAAACTGCAGTACTGACAGCCAATGCCTCTCTCCAGCTGGGGGGTTACACTAGAAAATAACCAAAGGACAGTCATCTCAGGAGGCTCTTCAATAAATTACCTTAGAGGCAAAAGGCTTACAATCTTTGGAAGACACCCTGAAGCTGTTCTGTGCACATGGGAACTCCCCTAGGGCCAAGTCCTATGTGCAGTGCACCTGCAGGAGCAGAGATACGAGCGCACAAGCAAACCCACAGACTCGTGGCTAGCCCGCTCACTCCGCCAGGTTTGAGCATCAGTAGTGAGACTTATAAATAACTGCAGGAAGGTGCCTCTGAGTGGAGCTCCATTGCTTTCTGCTGTGAGTCACACATCACTTCCCCTCATCACTTCTCCATTTCTGTGGTCTACTGAAACAAGGCATTTGAAAAGTGCAGCAGCTCTCAGTGCCAGAGGACTTTCTCTTGCCAATCCACCAGCCATCTATATTTTCCAAGCTTAATAACAATAATTCCTCTTTTTGCACCTTGTCAAGATCTGAAGCTGAGGTTAGTGTTAGACCACAGGGGATGTGCTAGGGGAAGGAGGAAGGGTATGTTGTGAACTGCTGGATTTTGCTGCTGTTTCTAGGAGCAGGACTAAGAAAGAGATGCACAAAACAGCACTTACCAATGGCCTTCTAGCAGAACAAGATGGGAGGGGGCACCATTTCCAACAGCACTTTGCTTAGCAGCCTAATTTCCATTGTCAAAAGTAATGTAGGAGCCAAAGTCCCTCTGGTTCTGGAAATGTTACTAGCTACTTTTCTATTCTCCCTCCATAAACACTGCTGCGGCTCCTGAGCTGCACGTGGCTCTTCAGCTGATCACTTGTGGCTCTTAGCAGATGATGTTACCAGAGCTCTTCTGTTTTCTTTGTCCTTTCTGTTCCTGCATACACTGGCTCTCTCTCTCTCTCTCTCCTGCAATCACCAAAAATGCAACACTTGCAACTTCTTCCATTTGTTTTTGTCTTTTCACTGGAGTGCGACTGCCACAGTTCCCTAAGGGGTATATGTTGGGGTGCCCCTTTCATTATGCACATGGCATAAAGCCGAAGACGGGGTACAGCTCTGGACACAAACACCAAAAACTAGGAAAACAGGACGAAAATCCTGACAGCATCAATCCGCATTAAGCCTTTTTCTAGAGGACACTGTTCGGAGTGAACGTGAGAGCCAACCCCTCATGCATCTGGGAACAGGCACAGACTCCTTTACTGAAGCGACAAGTCCCAAGACCAGTCACAGCCTGTCCCAGTGGGCCACTGAGCTCCAATCCCCGGCAGCACCAGAGCTGAGGAGTACCTAAAGGAATAGGATGGCCTTTGAGGGGTCACGATGCTTGATGGGGTAGGGCTTCTCCAGCCACTGTCTTCACTCCTGTGCCATAGGGGATGACATGGAGGTGGCTCTATACCAGCCAGACATCTCACACATTATGAGGTTACAAAGATGCCTATAGGAAGCAGAGTGAAGGTCCCTTTGCACAGTGCAACGCTCAGTGGTGCAGTGTGGGTAAGGGTGAAATCCAAGGCCGTGTCCAGATGAGTGTGCCCATGTGGTATGTGGTGCTGCAGACGCGTCTCTGGTGCCACATACAGCGCATTCAGCTATTCTCCGCTCTGCAAGGGAGCAGCATGGGGGTGGGGGTTGACCCCTGGATATACAAGGGGCATCGTGAAAAAACCAACAAACAGAGCAGTGCACGCGGGGACCGCGCACACTGCTCAATACTGGAGCCTTGCCAAGCGGAGCCACACTCCAGATGCCGACCAGGCTCTGAGCAGCAGGATCACAGCTGCTGAAGTCAGGGCCGAATTAACCCTTTAGTGGGGCCTCGGCAAACAAACTCATGGGCCCCTACTTACTACTGTATATTTATATTACCTTTTTTCAGTCAATAATTATCATTTGTAAAATAAGCACAACTGGACCCCCCTTCTGCACTTAGGGCCCTAGGCATGTGAAGTCAGGGCCGAATTAACCCTTTAGTGGGGCCTCGGCAAACAAACTCATGGGCCCCTACTTTCTACTTCATATTTATATTACCTTTTTTCAGTCAATAATTATCATTTGTAAAATAAGCACAACTGGACCCCCCTTCTGCACTTAGGGCCCTAGGCATGTGCCTAGTTTGCCTGTGCATTAATTCGGCCCTGACTGCAGCCCCAGGAGGCCCCCAGGGCCCCAGGTGAGGTGGCTGGGGCCACGCCATGCCCTGGACAGCGACAGGCTCATGAGTGCTGCCGCTCGCACCTCCTAGCTCCTGGGGTGATGCCTCTTTGCCCGGTGGGGATTGTTCTGAGGAGGGCATGAAGTCAGTCCAATGTTTTAATAATAGACGCCACTTCCTTTTACTGAAAAAAGAAATGTTTCCTTCTATATTTAGAAGCTAGCGACAGTGATTCACCCTGGGGACCTCAGCGCTGTCATCAGGGACTCGGTGTTGTACTTCTCGTCTTATTTTTGACTCATGGCAGCAACGGTCTGAATCAGACGGTGCCTTGTGCAGTCTTATGCAAAGCATGGCCCCTTCCCTTGACTAACGTGCACAGGGAACTGCACTCAAGCAAGTCCTTGGGTGTATGTGTGCTTGATAATGGTCGCACCTGAGGTCACAGGAAGACCACAAGCTGGGGAATTTAGTTTTTACTCACTGCAAAGTTTTCCCGTTATTTTTCAGCAGTACGGGCCTGACCTTCCTTTCAGCTTGGTCCTAGTTCTGCACACATCCTTGAGCTTATCAGTCCAGCTGTGAAGTGAATAGTGACTCCTGGTACATTGGGCAGGAGGTTTTCCCTTTCTCTGTAGTGTGGGGCACGGTCCTCTGAGTATACATATTAACCCGGTATTTCCCTGTCGTGGCAGTGACAGGGCACTGGCAGTGCCCTCATCTGTCTTGCCTTTACCACACATCATGTTGCAGGAGGTTCTCAGGGTTTGTGGTTTGGTACGTTGTAGCTGCATGGGAGGGTTTGAAGCAGTGGTTTTGGGGGAATCCTCAGATAAAAAGTTGCATGTCAATGCTGGGAACTGGACTCAAGGTCCCAGCCCAGCAGGCCCTTTCCAGTCCTATGCATGTGGTAAGTATTTAAAGGATTGGGACCTCAGCTTGATCCAGGTCAACAGAGTTACTCAAGTATAAAATCCCATGCGAGCCAGAGAGCCCAGATCCATGAATTTGCTTTGTGTTTCCCTGCCAAGGAGATACTGAACGTTGCAATCAGGCTGGGGCCCTTGCATTTTTTTTAAGTGCCCTCTGGCTCTTTCTACACAGACAGACACATTAATTTCCCTTTCATCAGCAGATACGCCTAGAGCATTCACACTCTCTTCTTGGGCATGCCCCAACCTGCTTGCCCCACAGCAGGTTACTGCTATCAGGGGATGTTTTTTTTCTTTGCAAGGCCTGTTAGACACTTGACATTTACAGTTGGTACACAAAGGTGGCAGCGGTGACAATGGAGAACCATTCTATGCATTTGCCTGGCAACAGAGTCAATACTTTTTTTTTTTTATTAAAGAAATGGAGTCACTTACCTGGAGACAGTTTAAACGGCTGCATCGAACTATTGTGTTGCCGCAGTCCTGTTTGTATTGCAGGAGCCGATTCTGTGGAGCGCTTGGTATCTATGCAGGATTGCATACCCAGGGATTATGAGCTTACTGGAGAAAGGGATGTACTTGACTAAAGACAAGGTCTATGGGATCAGGTCTCCTGCTTTCAGTGTTGCCCCTGCCTTGTGTTTCAGAAAGCAACAATTCATTCATAAATGACACCCAAACTACCTTTCCACGTGCCTGGTCAAGGTCGGTGTGCTAGTCTTGCGGTCTTGTTCAATGGGCAGTCAATCAGAAACCTGAGGACCATGGGCGTCCTTCCAGCCTAAGGTCACCTTACTGGTGACAAGCCTAAGTTGTAAAACATGACCTTTATTTACCTTTACAATGTAGTTCCAGGCTTTGGCCCAGAGTCCCAGCTGCACCCAGCCGAAAGCAGAGCTGCAATGTATGGAGCTGGTTCAGCTTCAAGTCTTGGGCCACGTCTATGCCAGCACCAATTAATGGGTCTTGGGGGTACTTACAGGGGCCATCTGGTGGCTGGAGCACAGATCTGGAGTCTCAATATGCCAAAAATCAGGGATGCCTGAATCCAGGGCCTGGGTTCAATCCATAATAATGGATCCAAAAGTTGGCTTTGACTCTGCTGTCATCCAAATCAAGAGTGACTGGCAAGGCTGCCAGAAAGTTCCCAGTTTTACCAGGCTGTAAGCTCAGAATTGGGCCAGTGCTTCTAATACCCTGAGTTCAGTGGCATTTACATTATAAAAGCACAAGGCGATGCACATTTTCTGCATCCTTTGTAGTATGATTTTGCAATCTGTGGACCAGCTCCTCTCTTCAGGAGCATCAATACATTTCCTGAGTAACTCCACTGACTTAGTCCCTGTGCATAATACAGTTCCCAGGGCATTTCACACTGCCTTATTAGAAAGACTGAATTATACATAAAATTAAGAAGAGGAAATCTTTAAAAGTTCATACTTCTGGCAGACAAACAGTTCATCAGCATTACTTTAATGAGACACTAAACTCCCTGTAATGCTTTTATTAATGCTCCCTGCTTATAGACTGCCAACTGTTTGGCTCCTCTCCTGCAGCCCGGCTGGTCTATAAAGCTGATATTTTAGGAGTCCTTTGATGCAAAATGGGAGTGCAGTATGCCCATGATCAAGAGGAATGACAGTTGGTGAGATGAAGGAGACTGAAACTCAGCAGATGGTGTGTAGCCTTAGAGTAGCAGTGAGGGTAGCAGGTAGGAGCCAGCAGCGGAGGAAAGGGATAATGGAATAAATGAAAGGAGAGAGGGATTCTGGTGGCATGAACTCAGTGGGACAACTTGCAGTCAATCAGGTGCAGAGAAAGAAGCAGCATGGTAGAATCACCCATATACACTATGGCAGATGTAGCAAAATGGGAAGGCAAAAATCCTAGGAAAGCACATCATAAGCAGCTGCAAGAGGAACTGAGGGATCAGACTGATGCATCATGCATTTGACAGTTGTTTGCTCAGACAGCTGAGATCCTGGGTTCCCCTCATCAGCTGCAGCTGAACCCTGCCTGGTGGACAAATGATTTGCTTATAGGCCCCCAGGAAGTTTACAGATTAACTATTATAGGAGAGGATGCTCCTGTTAAGTGCATCACCAAAGGCATGGTACAGAGCTGCTTTGCTTTGGAGAAACTCCTGGAGAGGTGACTCTCAAGGGCCAAGTGCTCCCCACTCCCTTACTTTGGGTTGGGGAGTCCCTGAGCTCTCCTGCAGGGTGCAGTGGGCAACCCCCAGCATGCTCCCACAAGGGGCAAGCACAGTGTAGCCTTACCTGCATGTGTTGTAATGGGTCTATCCTACCTACACGCATCGTGATTTGGATGCAGACAGGAATCCTGAGCAGCTGGCAGGGCAGAGCAGTTTGTAAGTCTTGGGAGCTTAGGTGTGCATAGACCATATGTTGCTCCTGCCTTTCAGAGCACTATGCAAAAAGGGATTAAAACCGTCCAAAGCTGCCTGAAACCATAAGAGCAAAGCAGCAAGGCAGGCTGATGTTCCAGCACAGAGTTCATGGCAATGGCACAGAGCAGGTGGGGAGCCTCACTTCTGTGGCTTCCACGGGCAGCAAGAATAGAAACAGGTTGCTGTAGAGCTGTAAAAGCCAAAATGGCTCAATCAAGAGGGACATCAGGGAGTTATTGCTCAATAGGAGCTTTTCACTGAACACAAAGCTCTGTCATCTCCCAACTTGCACCTGGCCTCCAGCCAAAGCCGTTACCAACTTGCAATTAGCCAGTTCCCCTCTCAGAATGTAGAAGTCTTGACCAAGCCTGGCCTGAGCCGAAGGGTTTCATCAACACAAAAAGTGGGCATGGCAAGCAAACACTGAATGGCTCGCCCTCCACGTACGAGTCTGGTAAGGCTGATGCAGATGACCAATGCTCCTTAGTAGGAGCCTTAGTTCCTATGTATCACGATGGTGCTATGTATCAGCGCAAGTTGTGTATAGCTGTATGCTCATCCGTACAGATGCTCCCGTGTGCCTAATCCTCTGCAACATTGCATCTCATATGGAGTCATGGCTCAGAGTCAAGTTAGAGTGCAGCTTGGCAATCAGGTCTATCGTTACCTTTAGCTCTGGGAATAGCTTCAGAGATAATAGATAAAGCATGTGCAAAGGGTGATTCAGCTAAGTCGGCATCATCATCTTGATTTTCCCCAGGACTGAATTGGATTAGTGCAGTTTCTTGTGGCAAATAAAAATAGGTGAAATAATTGAACAGCAAAACTTCACAATGTATGTGCATTTTTATGATAAATGTATGTGCATTCTTTTCTATGTAGCCCAATGATTTTATATATCAGCTTCAAGTTGTTTATAACTGTCTGTTCATATATGTAGAAATACCTGTTTGTAAAATCCTCAGCAATGTTGCATTTCATATGGAGTCATGGCTCGGATTCAATTTAGACCACAGATAAAAATGCAGATAATTTCCAGTGAAAATGTGCCTTTTTTGAGCGTGCAGAGAGGGGAGATCTTCCCAAGGGAAGATCTTCCCAAGCAAAAGTAGCCAAACAGGGACTGGTGTTAAGCAAAAATGGAGCACGGAAAATAAAGCGTTTTGATTCAGAAAGGCTATCTTTATCCGCATGGGAAATAAAACACTATTTAGGGGTGGGGCAAATCAAAGGAGATGCAATAGCAAGAAGGCAAGCATGCAGATTTCTGTACGACAAAAGGTATGAATTCTCCCAGGCTGTAATGTTCACTTTCTTGATGAACTTTTACCTGTGGTATATCAGTTGTATATTAGCAGTGTCAGGCGGTTCCTAATGGAGCACAGTATCTCAGCACCATCACAGGCTCCAATATACAGCAGGAAAATGGCCCCAGCCCTGAAGACTGCATAATGTGCACTGACTTGGACAGGTTTTTGCTTCAGGCCGTGCCTTCAGGGCTTTTCCACCCTGTCTCTGAGTCTGGACTTCCACCTGGAAACATGTCCTGCCCATTCTTTCCTGCTCTGCCCTGGCTAAATCCTGGAAATAAGGGAAGTGGATGCCTTGGGCAGCCAACAGTGCATAGTGAGAGCTGTCCAGGCTCTGCGGCCAGGGTGTGGTGATTGGCATACACTCAAGGCCACTCTAATGCGGCAATGTTTCCAGGACAGCACATACGAGTGGGTGGGGTGAGATTCTCAGTGGCACCCTGGGCACGGCAGGGAGTCACGGACATGCACATAAGGCACAGGCATAACTATGCATACTGGTGCCCCCAGTGGCTTCACTGGCAGTGTCTCCACAGGCTGGCACAAGCCCACCTTCCCATTTCATTGATTAAACAGGCTGAATAGAAACCACTCACCCCCTTACAGGATTCATAAACTGGAAATGGCTTGTGATCATCATGGGCAGGAACACACACTGAAGCTGCAGTACAGCTGTAAACAAGATGCACATTGGCGCAGCGTGGGCGTCCTGGCAAAACTCATGGCTTTCAAATGTAATCAAGGTGGAGGCTGGAAGCACGGCAGCGATGGCATCCTTCTTTTGTTTGTCACAGAACATGAGGCAGCTGATAAAAGCTGCCTTTGAGGAGGTGCCAAGTTACTCCTCACTTTCCCATAATGACACTGTATCCCCCTTGCTGTCACCGTGTCTGCAATTGGGTGAAGAACGGACCAGAGAAACAGCGAGAGGTTAGAGCAGAGCTCCTGCTCAAGGAAAACAGCTAGAGGCTTGGGTGCATTAGTAAGTAATTACTGGGATTTCCATCTTTATTCTTTCACGGCTCTGGCAGGAATAGACGACCAATTGTGGGTGCTATAAAACAAACCCAAGTTGGTGCGGAGCCCTCCTGTGTGTCTGCAGACCCATACTGTCACCCACAGGCATAAAAAGTCAGGGGCCAGAGGCATAGCTGACCATCACTGTGTCCGAGGCAGGTGGTGGTGGCGTGGTAGTACCAGAATGGAGCTAAGGGATCGTCACAGCCTCTCATCCCCCCTGTCCCTCTCCCCTCCATCCCCTACCTAGACCTTCCCTGCAGCAGCTCCAGCTGCACCTCTGACAGCAAGGAGGACAAAGCATCAGCTGTAGCAGTGCAGGATCAGTGGCTGCTGTGAGTACAGATGTTACCTCCTTTTTTGCTGCTGACACATATCAAGTGACCATTTAAACACTAATTTTCGGTGCCAAAAAAATGGAGGCGACACCTCCGCACTCACCAGGGGCAAGCCACCAGTTGCTGATCCAGAGCTAATGCAGGAAAGAAGCAGGGTGCGAAGAGGGGTAGGGATGGGAAGGTAACTAGCCCCCAAGCTCCATCTCGGTGCTTCCCCTGCTGCCCCGTTAGCAGCCCCTGGGACTTGTGCCCCACTTGACCACCTCTGGCTAGGCTCCTGGTTGGGTCCTCCTGTAAAAGCCAAGGGTTGGCTTGGCAGTCCTGGCATTTTACCAGTCAAGTGAGTATGAAAGGCTCCTCCTTTGCTTTCCACTTCCTGAGCTTTTAGCCATCCCATTTTGCAAACTTTTTCTCTGCAGCCACTGGGCTGGATGCTTACTTGGTTAAACAAAATGTGAGATTCTCCTGCGATTACCTCTGACTGTTTCGCACAGAAGCGAACAGGACATCTTTTTTACCTGGTGAATCAGACTCTTGTTTTCACAGGAACCGGTTAAAACAACCGAGGAAATAAACAGCTCAACAGAAGGCAGATCACTTGGGCCACAAATATTGTTGGATGTGTATCTATTTCTTACCAGAGCATCTAATGAACATTATCATTTCTTTTGCTTTCTAGTTAAAGGTCCAGGCACAAAGAAGGAGCACTTGTTTCACCAGCTGCGAGGTCTCTCCAGGACGCTGTTTCTCACACCTACTCTCCAGTTCCCCCAGGTGTGTGTGGACATCTCACTGCTCAGCCTTTTGAGGATCCACATGGCACCACAGTGTAGCATGCTCTCCACATACTCCTGGATGAAAAGAATCGCTAAGCCATCTCCTCCCACAAAGCCTGGCAGCTCCATTGCTTGTTGTGTGCTGTCTTCTACCCCCATTTCTTTCCCCTGCAGGGACTGCTTCTCCTACACCTCTTCCTCCATCCTATTCCCCAAGAGTCTCCCCGACAGGCTCTGCAGAAAGCAGTAGTGGAAGAGCTTTGTTTTCCTTCCTGTAGTGCATTAGTTGCTGCTCTGGGGCACAGAGGACATTTAGTAACATTGAGCTCATTTCGAAAGGGGATCGGAGGATCTCTTCTCTGTGATCTGTAAAGGTCAGGTAAGTCCAGAGACATGCTGCTGTCACCTTGAGCTCCAGAGCTGATGTCTGCTGGCAGGGAAGCCTGCAGGAAGCTGGTCATGAAGTTACTATATTACTTGTACTCAAGTCTGATCTAAAGCCCCAAGCAAGATCAGGGTCCCGCTCAGCTCACCGCTGGGTTCCTGCCCCAGATGACTTTCAAACTAAATGGATAAGGCAGATGAAGGACAGGTATCCCAGCTTTATGGCAGCAAGACCCAGCAACTTGGCCAAGGCAAGACTCCCTTGCCCACAAGATCATCCCTGCTGCACCTGTTGTATGGACATACTGGGGACCCCAGACTTTGGCACCTCAGTCTGCTCCCGCCCCCACCGTTGGCTCCCTGCCACCACTGCCAGGTACCCCACCCCAGAGCTGATGGCTGTACAAACAGTCTTGGGGAGCCACGCTCTGCTCTCTTTGTTTAGCCAGCCACTTTGCTGTTAATTCCTCCTGAGCAGGTGGTGTTTGCTCTTTCCACTCAATGTTTGTTCTCAGTGAAACTGGCTGCAAAGCCTCTGCAGTTGCTGCTATTTATCTTCTTCCCCAGCTTGCTTTGTTAACGGCAGCCAGGTGAGTATGCCAGCGGTTAGGTCTCCCAGTGACTTGCTCCTGGATGGGAGACGCTAAGCATTTGCATTCATCTGCTTGGGCTGTGGCTCTCACACGATTTACCGAGGAGGCTCCGAAATTCCAGGTAACTTCCTGCTTTGTACACGCTCCCGGGTGCATCAATGAACTGCTAGAACCAAGGCGCACAGCTTGTTGGGAATTTATTTTATGTTACAATTCTATAATTTATTAAAATATATTGCCCTGTAGGGAGAGAAGGCTGTTTCTTAACAGCTGAATCTGTACCAGAACATTTCCCTGACCTCCCTGTCATGCCCCGGAGCTGATGGGAAGTTTTGCAGCTCAGCCAAAATTCATCTTTCAATTACATCTGGACCGATCTGGAGTGACTCCAGGGAAGTTAATAGAATTACTTTGGACTGATGCAAGTGTAACACAGCAGAGTTTGGCCCTTTTGACCTATCCAATCAGCAATAGAGGATTCATAGAACTGATTTGTGATTATGCCTCAATCAGGCGCTGGCTTGATTCAGTTGGCACCCACAATTACGCAGAAAGAAATGGGCACTGAGTCTTGTTCAGTATCACCCCAGGGAAGAGCATGGCACACATAAAAAACCCTTTGATTTGGGGAGTAGAGTGGAAAAACCAACTAAGTGGGTGTTGTAGGAGGTGCAGTGAAGGGCTGAGGATACTTATCCCATTACTTCCATCCAGAGCAAGGGGGTTACACATGATGAACCTCTGGTTCTTTCTACCCACCTCCTCCTGTCAGTGCCTGGTGACCAGTACTGGGACAACCGTAGTGCTAGGACCTAGCACCTCACTGCTCAGCTATTGAGCAATGTCAAAACAGCTCTGCCAGCCAACGCAGTGCAAATATCGGAGCAGGCAGTGCTACGGGCAAGTCTCAGGAGGCAGAAAGGGAATATATTTGCACAACAATGCATGGCCGTTTCAGAATCTTTTCAACAAATGGTTACAGCACATAACAAGCTACATAAATGGAGCGGCCACCTGCTTCATAAAAAAACTCTGCTCTTTTGTACTCTTTGGGCATTAGATAAACTGGAAACCTTTTTTTCCCACCCGCCCCCACACCTAAATAGGGTAGATTTACACTGATATACAGCACATTAAAGAACTTAAAATAAAAACTCCATTTAACTTAAACATCACTGATTTTTATGGGAATTAAAATTGACAGCACCATGCAAGACAGAGTTCAAAGTATCCAGTTTAACAAAACAAAACAGGGAAAATTATCGCTTGTCATGATAGTACTTTAAGATAAATACTATGGGCGCCATGATTTTTATTTAATGAGATCTTAATAAATAGATGAAGATGCTCCTAAGAAGCCTGCAAGAAAAGGATTCGGACAGTGTCTGGTGTGATGGCTTCATCTTGGCTCGCACAGCTGGCACTGGCATCCCCTCAGCTGAAAGAGCAAGTCTTTAGAGCTTGAGTTAAAGAGAAATAGAGTAGATGGTGGAAGTGATGGGCACACTCATGCTCTCTGTGACACAGAGAGGAGAATCAGTATTGAGCAGGGGATTACATACCTGGACAACAGAAACTCACCTTGAGCATCTGAGGTCCCCAGCAATGACTGAATCCCTCATAGACCTTGCTTATAGTATAGCCAACATTCAAGAGTGATTTCAAACCCTCGGGGCTAACAGCCTGCATTGCAGGAGGGCTGGAGAGCTCAGGTCTCTACCCAACTGGTGAACTGGTGGACACGGGACAAAACCGAACTTTTGAATGAACACTTCATGTTGGTACTCCACCAGTCCAAGGGGGTTAGCCTGCTTGACAGGCTACAGGATCATCATGGTGGGGGTGACCACCTTCCCACCGTTGGCATAGATCTTGTGGGGGAACACCTACAAAGGCTAAATATCTATAAGCCAGCAGGACTGGATGAACTACGCCTAAAAGAACCAGCCGACATCGTCACGCACCCGATGGCAGAGTTATTTGAAGACTCGTAGCACTCGGGAGAGATCCCAGATGACTGGAAAAAGGCCAATGGGGTACCTATCTTTAAGAAAGGGAGAAGGGAGGACCCAGGAAATTACAGGCCAATCCGTTTAACCTCGGTTCCTGGTAAAATCCTGGAGAAAATGATCACAGAGCCCATAACACACAGGCTATGAAACTTTGTGAACAGGCACAGAAAGGAAAGCATAACGCACCCCGACCTGGGGGTTACTACACATGACCTTTTCCCAGTTTAAACCTGTGCGTGTAATCACAATCAGGACTGCTTGCTTTACAGAATATGCCAGTGACGTTAAAAACCCCTCTGCCCCTGGAACGAAGCGTATTCTTGGGTGAAACACGGCAGCTCCTTAACAGAGCACAGCGGCATCGGAAGACCAGCTCTACGCAAGACTGTCCTCTCCACCGTTTTGCAACAGGGAAAGCCTGCGGTCCTCCCTGTCGTAGTCGGAGGGATCCTAATGTGGTGATTAGAGCAACATCACTCTCCTCTGCAGCTCCCACTTCCTCCTTCACCTCTTTTCCTGAATGACTGATGACTGCTACAGCTTTTAATTCAGCCCTGCCATTGCCTGATACCGGCAGCCCAACATACCACACAGGCTGACGTAGTGCGAAGTGCCTTTTCTTCTGTGCTCCAAGCGGACAGTGCGTGCGTTTGGTTTTGCATATGCTGTGGTTTCTCTCTTTCCTGCCTTCCTGCCCTCCCCACAACCTTGTAAAGCCTTCAGTATGTCACAATCTGTCAAACAACTCCTTGGACCAGGTTTTTACAAGAATCCTACTCAATACCCAGTGCCAAATAACCTCTTTAAACAATAGTCTGTGAAGTCTTGCGTTGCCTATTAGTCTGCTCTTGCATGCCATATATAGGCAAAAGCTAGGGAATTCCCTGGCCCAGAAGAGTGGTTGAATGAGTGCATTGTTTCTCACAGCAGCTGAACGTATGCTGGGCATGTGAGCTGTATGCATCGCACCGTTATCTTTCCACTGATTCTACACTGAAGTTTGGGCGGGCATACACATACAGGCTGGGCCCTGATGGATGCATTCCCAGAGATCAAAATGCAGGTGGCAGCAGTTCAAGTACATCACACACAATGACACAAGTTCCCAGTGCAAAGCTAGCAGTTGTCAGGCCACAGCCAAATAAGGGCCTCATGGCTTTGGCCAAATTTAAAGAAATTTAAACAATAGCTGGATCACACTGGGATATGGCTCGATTCAGAGCAAGCTTTCCACGTAGCTTTTGGCAGTGCATGCGAATCTTCTGCTCTGCAGGCAAACAAAATGCTGAATTTTTCTGGAGCAAAGGAAACTATTGATGTGGTACAGCACATACACATCAACACGCAGAGGGATTTGCGAGCAGCAAGCCTGCGATGCAGTGCCTGTGGCGACTGCACAGATTGCCTTTCACATTCCCCAGCTCCACGCGGCGAATGCCAGGGTGTGAGAGCTGTTACGGACCCTGCAGAAGTCAACTGGACGGCCTTCCAGAGCGCTGTGCTCATTTCTTTCTAACTGGCATTTGTCAGCCTTCCAGCACCTCTCCAGTCCCTCGCGCCTTGCCCTTTTGTCCATCGTGTCCAGGCTCCCAGGTTTTCTGACATGCAGCTCCTCTCCTTGCTGCCAAGTGAGCTGGGATGGGACCCAAACAGATGCCTTTCACAGAGTGACTGTGTTGGAAAATCTTTACATAAAGGCCGATACTTTGCTGCTTCCCCCTCGCCTCTGAATCCTGAAAATCTTCATTCTTCTTGCTCTAAAAAAGCTTTTCTAAGGAATCCCAAAATTGAGACTCAAAAGCACTGTATATAAAGACCTGAACTGGGGATGGAGCTCCAGGCAGGACTGAACTCTCCAATATGTGAGGCAGTGGATACAGTAGGTTTCTGTCCTGAAAAATATTTCCTAGTGTCATTGCAACAGCTCCATCTCCACCGGCAAGAGCAGAGATGAGAACCCTAGTAGAGAGGGACATGTCGACAGTGGTGTCCCCTAACACTGTCTGGAGTTGCTTGAGAAGACACGGTGATTAAGCAGCGGCTGGAGGTGGGGGGCAGGCCGGGCTGGGCACCATTCCCCTGCCTGGGGTAGGGGTGGGTTGGGGAACAGTGGGGTGGGGAGACAGCACTGCTATGGGTGCAGGCTGCTCACATGTGTGTGCATGTCTGTGGCATCCCCCTGACCATGGTGCCCTGGGCGGTTGCCCATGTTACCCATCTGTAAGGCTGGCCTTGGTTGTTATCCTCACTGAGACCGCACTGGGGGAAGAAATGATGAGAAAATGAATATTGACATCATGTTACGCTGTTATGCAATCCACCCACAGGGTTCAGACTTGCAAACAGGTCAACTCCCATTTAAGTACCTAAGCAAAGTTGGCAGATTTTCAGAAGGGCTCAGCATCCATCAGCCTCTGCTGAAAACGCACCAAATTCTTCTGAAAACTGTTCCAAAGGGACTATTTAAGACAACAGGGCCAAGTTGTGATTGACAATTAATATACCTCTTTTTTTCAGGAAACAGGAATAGCTACATTCACAGAGGAGGCAGTGTCTGAGTTCACATCTCAGAGCATGGGGCTTTGCACAAATGTGCACCAAGATGAAATTTATCCTTATTCTTTCAACATACTACCTCTTATTGCACACAGTCCAAGACATTCTGGTCTCATTTACACTAGGATCACCTGGAGCCATTCTCATTTAGTCCATGGAGTAGTTTGCACCAGAATGTGACCCACCAAATTACTACACCCCAGTTCTCAAGCCAGCTGGAAATGCATAGTAAGTTCATGCTAGCCTATGCTGTATTGCCCAGCCATATAACAATAATCATGTTTCAGTTGGGATCTCTTGCTGCGATCTCAGAAAGTCCTTCTTTGCACTGTGCACAGTGTTTGATCACATTCCCGGTACCGTGACATTCCCCCTTGTAACCGCTCAAAGCAGCAGTCTGTACCATGCAGTTGCCTTCTGCAGCTGACACCCAAACTGCACCTTGGAGAGAGAAAAGCAATCTTTGAATCCCACCACCCAAGTGCTCGCCTAGTGGCTGTCCCTGACTTCAGTGAACTACTTGTGTACTTAAAGGGAACCTGCTTTGATGGAAGGGGGCCATGATGAATACTACAGGCATGCTCCTGAGGTGTAACTGCCCTTGGTGTCCCATAGTCCTAGAACTGGGGTAAGCCCTGAAACACAAAGTGAAAAAAAATCACTTGGTTTCAGGTTTTGGCTTGGATGGGAAATGACTTATGACCCAGGAAGCCATCTTGAGAACAAGCCCCCATCTCCAAAGTCTCCTTTTCCTTGAGTCGTATTTCAAGAAGACTCTCAATTAACCCTCTCCCTTCCTTGGCCATCTTCAAGGTGCAAGTACTTAGCCCATTCTTGTTTTCTAGGTACCTCAGGGGGTCTCTGATGGACCTGTTCCCGCACACAACCACCTAGAGGCCACAAGTAAATGAGCTGCTCTCATATTTTGAATCAATGGGAACAAGAAGGACTTTCTGGGTCTTGCTTCAGATACTCAGCAGATCTCCCTGGGCTCACCTTAGCCTGATGGATGCCTCTGGTATAGAACAGCTAAAGATATGACTTAACAGTTACATTACCATCAGTCAGTGCCTTTAATAGATTCTGGTGTCTGCTCTTTCAGTGATCCTGCATGATAATAACAATGCCCTCTGCTGAATCTAACTAGAAGAACTCAGCACTCCCACTCACAGCACTGACAGCTCCCAGTCATTTGGTACAAATAATATTTAATGGAAAATTTTACAGGAATGATTTGGAGATGGCAAAGTCTGGAAAAATTCCCAAAGCAAACACAGTAGAGGAAAAGTTATAAATGCCCATAAACGTGGTTTAAGAGTCCTTACAGTTGGTTCCCAGTACGCCAGACTGTTCAGTGTACTAGGTAAACTTCCCTCTTTGAATATGCTATGCCCAGCAATGCCGTTTCAGTTCAAAACACACTGATGAGGTGCCGTTTGTCAGCAGAGAGCCGATCTTGAAGAGAGGAATGGTTATCCCATGGGAACCTGCTTCGTCGGAAATGGTGCGAGGGTCGCTGGCAGAGCAAACACCTGCCCTGTGGTGGGAGACAAGGTGAATGGGTGCCCAGAAAAGCAAAGAAGAGCTGAAGAAGTGGGGAGGAGAGCCAAGGGAATGCAAGACCCTGTTGATAACAAACTAGACTGAGTTGCAAAGACAGGGACGATGTTCTGGAAAGCCCATAAGCAAGTGCTGAAGATCCCTTGATTTCAGAGGGATTTAAGTACCCCCTTAAAATGCAGGAGCCCACCAGTCCACCAGCTGAATGGCCAGGTGGTGCACCAGCCCACCATGCTGAATGGCATGTTTCCAGGCTGCCTGTTCTAGCAGCACTCACTATATTAAGGACACAATACACTTCACTTGTTTCGTGGCTTTGTGGTGACTTTAAATTTCAGCAACAACAGTAGGTCAAGTTACATACTGCTGTAAGTGGGTGCAGCTTTATGAGCTTCAGTAAAGTGGCCTCTCTTTCACTCAGGTATAGGACACCCGAGAGATTAAACACTGCTTTGTCTCTGCTCAAGCATGCTTTGCAACAGGCCACGCAACTCAAGCCAGAACATCCTACTTCCTAACGCATACAAATGAAAGCTGGAAAGGAGATGAATGCAGCGGGTTCCTGAGTCCGAGTGTTGTTCTAGTCAGAGTGGAAAACAAATCCAAACCAGCCAGTGCCTAAATTTGACCTAATTTGTCATTGCTGGGACAGAATAATCATTACATTTAAGTAATCTGCCTTGTTTTCAACAGCTATGGGGTTCTTCACACACCAAGGTCCCCAAGGGCCGTGGGTCCCTGCCTAGGCAAATGTGACTTTCAAAGCAAAGTTGCTAGAGGAATCTGTGTACTCTGATCTCTGCAGAAGAGAGAGGTGGAGAGAGCCACAGGTAGTGAGGGCAAAGGTTGTCCCAGGTTGTCCTGGGAGGAAAAGTGTCTGTGGTCTCCAGACTTCCACAGCTGTAAGGAGGGGGAGCTATTTGAGAAGATCAAGTTGGCCCAGAAATGGAAATGTTTCCGTGTCATTGAGCAGCATGTGCCCGATTCAAATGAAGCTTCTTGGGAGCCCAGATTGGCCAGACCCCGTGCTACACCTTGTCAAATGTTCAGCTCCTTTATGCTGGCTCAGCAGCCCTTGATAGCGGAGCTGGGGCTATGTGAAAGCAAAGGCCACCAGGACCACTAGTTGGAGCATGCAGAGAAGGGTTGTCCACCCCCAAGCGCAGGTATTACTGACTGCTGAATGCATGTCCAAGGTCCCCTGTGCCCAACCCACAGAGGACATGAGCTCGCCAATGGTCATACACCATAGGTGGAGTAAGAAATGGTCCTTGTGCCTTCCCCCAGCCCCTTTTCACCACCTACTCACATTCTCACCTCCTCCTGCCCCGTGGCATGTTCAGTTAATAGAAAATGCCAGTGAACGCCAAGGAAGCTTTCAGCCTCTTTGGCTTGTTACATTCAAGTAAAATCATGTAAATTCTGCTCCTGTAAAATCCTGCTTGATTGTATCCTTGCTGATTAACGACAACCACTGGTGGTGGAAAGCTGCAGTTTTTGTGGCACTGCCACAGCAAGAAAAGCGGTGACAACTGCATATTTGCTGGAGCTCTAAGAGTTACTCGCTGCTTCTCCTGCAGCTCGGTATAATACAAAGGCATAAATTCTTCACCACGAGACCATTTTCTTAATAAAGTGCCTGTGCTGGGGGCCGGTATTATTGCTGGGTTGGAAACGCTGAATGTCTCCATGTGCATTACATTAGCATGCGCTTGCTTTGCTCCCACAGATGCTTTACAGGAGAATCTGTGCCAGCGCCGGAGCCCGAGTGTCCCCCAGTGAAACCCAAGAGCCACATCCATTTTTAGAGTGAGTTTGCCCAAAGAGATGTTGCATTATCTGAGCACCACGTAAGGGAACAAAATGAACTGAGGCTCCCCCGGCCACTTATTTACCTTCTGTTTAAACAGTCTTTCAAGTTCTCTCCTGCGCACCCTTCACTTGGCACCTCGCGTGGTGTTGGAGAGTCTATTTTTAAAAGCATGCTGCTGGCTTTTATCTCAAGCTGCCTGAATCTTTTTTTCCCCCCTCCCCAGCCCTTGTGCTCCTCAACTTATTTGAAAGACGTTGGCAGATAAAAGCGGAGAGGAGAGATAGGGCGAAGGCAGCGAGCTTGGCCTGGCAAGCTGGGAATTGGGGAGGGGGTGGGAAACAAACACATAAAAAAGTACCTAAATACTTCCTGGAATCACCGGTGAGTCAGTGTGGGTCCAGTCCCAACGGTCTGATGGGAAAAATGAAACCTGCCGCTTTACACAAAATAAAGGTTTACTTGAGCGAGGACTGCAGAATTGGGCTATCTAAATTCCACATTCTCTTTGTATTGTTACCATCACAACCCAGGGCAACAAACACACACAGGAATTAGTACTTTGGCAGCATCCAGGACCAATAGCTCTGGAGGGCGAAGCTCTCCCTCCTAGCTCGCTCTAGGCAGCCTCTCTAAGTCTGCCCCTGCACCCGTGGGCCCGAGTCCTCACCTTAAACACCTTTTGAAAGTCATTTCCTTGTGGCAGGCTGTCAAACGGCAGATGCACCAATTCTGATCTGATTCACACCGGTGTAAATTGGGGCAGGGCCACTGCAGTCAATGGGGGCTGCCTATGTATAAAGTGAGGGTAAGGCTAGGATCAGGGATTCATATTGACCGCTCTCACCCAGGGAGCCCTGAGCCCCTGTCACTGTTAGGAGGATAAATGAGAGAGGCAGGGAATGCTATGCAGCTGTTTGAAAAGCCATTTTCCATGTGCATGTTGCAGTCGAACACCAGACTGGGCCAAAAATCAGCATCTGTGCTCTGAGCCTGGGGTGGATCATTCAAACACCCAGCAGTGCCCAGGCAGCAAACATAAAAGTGAGTCAAGAGGGAAGCAAGCCTGGTGCCAGGAACCTAAACAGCTGATCCCAAACAGCACGGGATGCACTATGGGCCCCTAAATCTAGTGAGTGGAGGATTAGGGGATGTGATCCAATCTAATGTACAATAAACTCAGTTGTGAAGTATCCTGCCTCTGCTCTGACAAGCTCTCTTCATCCCCAATTCCCTTTCCCTTCTAACACCTTCCCTCTCTCACCCTCCTGGTCCCCTACACATGGCCGGAGCCTGCAAAGCTGCTGCTTGTCCTTCACAAGTCCCAATGCCTGTAGCACGCTTGCTAATGAAAAGGCGAGTGATTTGCTTCTGCTGAGCTGAAGCATTTCTGTGTCCCTCACAAACCTGCATGCGCTCATCAAGCCGAAACTGCAAATTCCAGGGTGCAGATGCTCGTCCCTATGGCACACGTATGCAGCGCTGAGTGACAGCACATGGACCCTGGATTAAGGCTCCTGGGTGCTCCTACGATAACAATAGCGCTAACAATCCTGCGCTGTTCTAGATCCAGCTGGACTGATACAAAATTCAGGTAAAACCCCAAGGATTATGATGCTTGGACCAGATGTCTCTCTCCTTCTCCTAAGATCCAAATCCGGCTGCATACTCACATGAATTGATCCACTGATAAGAGAAGGCAGGATCAGGCACCTTCTTAGTACGTTTCATTAAAGCACTGGCTGAATTTGTCTACTTGACATGCTTTATAATCAGCCCAGCAAACTGGGAAGGTAGGATCTGCGCTGGATGGAAGGCGCGGTGCAGTGACTGGTACCAGGCAGAGTGCTGTGCCCCTTGGGTAGGAGACACAGAGCACACAGTGGAAAGGACTGCATGGGGCAGAGACAGCAACTGCAAGCTGACAACTTACAGCAAGTTTTGCAAGAATGATATGATAAACCCAGAGTCTAAAAAAAATTGTTGGGTAGACAAGTTCTCCCTTGCATCTGTCTTCAGTTCTTTCACTGCCTGAGCCCCCTTTTTGCATTTTGACTGGGCTATATGCTTCTGCCATGGAGGGTCACCACAGACAAAAGAAATCTTTCCCATCACGCAGCTGCCAAGGAGGAAACAGCCTCTTCCAGTTGCTGGTGACTCCATAAGCAGCAGTGAGGCCTCAAGGCTGGTCGAGCGAGCTGGTGCTATGGTAGCTAAGTACCACAGGACTGATAATCCTGGGAAGAGTGTTGGGACATGGCCAAGCAGAGATGGGCAGAAGCTGCAAATTTAGCTCCAAACAGCATCTCCAGGCATTTGGAGATATTCTGGTCTGAGGTTTTGACTTTGGCCTACCTCCACTAATGGTAAGACTCTGGGCGCTGACTTGAATCGTGCAGCTGTGCATTCCTCTAGCTGCCCTCCACCCCTTCCCCAGCTCCAGCTCCAGCTCCAAGTGTGCAGCAAGGTGAGCTCAGCCAGGGCACGGTTTTGAAAATGAATGAGTTAAACTGAAGAGCCCATAAAACCACAAGTGCAGCCAGCCAGGAGCTGTCGATAGATGCTTGTGCCAGGTCAGCGGAGTGCACAGCCAGAGCAGAGGCCTGGTGATGGGCCGTAGAGATAAGGTGAAGGCATTTTGAATCCAAACCAAGAGAAGGGGTTTCTATCCCAGCACATGACAGCAGGGGAAAAGGGCAGTCACAGGAAATGCAAGAGGACGAGATTAGCCAGGCCATAACACAAAAACAGCCAATGGATGAAGCAAAATGTGCTGGAGATAACAAGCTGGTTACACAGCTGGCAGATGGCAATGGAACAGGCAGCTAAGAAGGGAACAAAACCCCATGCAATAAAAAAAATAACAGACAGCTTTAAAGACCATTTTCAATCATTTTTTCCCAGCCTGTGGGTGTGGACACAAGAGAGTTGCTGCAGAGGAATAGACCCTGGTTGTAAGGATCAGACACATTATCGGCGCTCCCCAGCTCTGTGCCCACCATCAGTGCTATCACAGCATCATGTGTTTAGGTGATGGGGAGCCAGGTTGCACTGAGCAATCCACCGCTCCTGGAGGAAGTGACTCAGGCCATGGACACCCAGCCAGAACCCCAGTATAATTTGCATTTGTGCCTGTTTTGCTGAGGCTCCAGTGCAGGAGTGCTCCTGGCCGGCCTCCTGCCTGCTGTCACTCCTGGCGTTCAGGCTGCTTGGGTCTGTGTGCTCTCTGGGGCCATTGCCTGCAACCAGCCCCCCTGGAACCCAGGTGCAACACAGAAAGAACAACTCGAATTCATGTTCAGTGGTGAAATCTTAGAGAGGTTTACTGTTTCCTAAGGGTGCACTAACTGGTCATCTGCCCAGCTCAGCGAAACTACCCAGAAACAATGGTAGGTGCAGCCCATGGTCCCCAAAGCAGCAACAAGAAGGCAAGTCTTGTAACCCCCATATGTATAGCCAAGACATCCCTGCCCCATGCCAGTTCTTGTCTTTCTTCCTATTGAGATGTCCCTTTTTCACTTGTTTCCTTGCCAAGTCCAGACACTTGCAGCTCATCCCTTGCCTGCTTTGGACACCTGTAGAGTTCAGACATCTCCAGTTCACTCCCTGCCAGGTTTGGGCATTTACAGCTCTCCTCTGGTTGTCCCTACTTTACTAGCAAGTTCTTACTTTATAGTTTGCAAGTTGTTCAGCTACTTGTTTTCCAATTCTCCTTGAATTAGTATTTTTGCTCACTGCTTTCTATTGTAGATAATGTCCAGAAGAGGCTTAATCCGAGTTTGCTTCCCCAAATGATTCCTTGGTTCAAGAAACAAACAGCTGCTATCATACATAGCTCTGCACAAAAAAGGGAAAAAATGCCAGAGCACTTATTTGAAATGCCAGGGCTTTCGTGCTGTTACCAAAATCCTCTCCATATTCCTTTAAGTGGCCATGTACTTTATGCAGGGAAAGCCCATAACCAATGTACTTGGTAGACTAGACAAAAAAGGATCATCATGAATCTTAAAATGTGCCCTTTCTAAAGCCACGGCAAATCAAAGGCAGGTCAGCCTGTGAGGGCTGCTGTTCTCTGCACTGCCCTTCTGTCGCATGTGGGTTCTCCGAGGACAAAATCTAGATCCCCATAAGGACGAGACCCTCAGATCCATTTAACTGGAGCTGGTCAGGAAACAGAATATCTGGCCAATGGGAAATGCCAACATTTTGAAATTTCTCTCAACCCAAATTGAGACAAAAAGTAAACTTCAAAAAAAAAAATCTATGGAAATTTCAAAATGGTTCATTTCACATACATTGAAACATCCTTGTTAAAATAATTTATTTTGATGAGGTCCAAAGATTACAATAGAAAATACTAAATGTATGTGCTGTTCATTTTAATTAAAAAGTTTTAAGACCCAAAACACAACAAGACAAATCAAAACTAAACAAAAACAGGAAGTGAAAACAAAATGAGACTCTTGAAATGAAGCGCTCTGTTTTGCTTTGAAGAGCTTTGAAACTTTTTCCATTCCAAATATTGTCAGTAGATTCCCACCAAATGTTCCAGTTTTGGTCCTGCTGGGGAACAAGTGCTCCCTCCAAAACCCCTCTCCCAGTTCTGTACATTACTGATATGAGTTTGGAGCAGCCTTGTATGGAACCGAGCAAAGCTGATACAAAATGAATCTGTTTTCTCATTAAAGCCACTGAACTGTGATGCTCTTTTTAAGCTTATGAATCTGCATGATGGTGGCTGCCTATGCAGATCTGTTCTCTTGGACTCCAAACTCTTCATACAGCCAAAGCCACCTGGACAAAATAATCACGGACAATCGCGGGGTGAAGGGAAGTGCCTTCTTGAAATGACTAATGACCAACAGAAGGAAAATGACATATCTGCTTCCTTGACCACAAAGTGCATTTCCTGAAGCATTACTGAAGGGCATTAGCCAGGGTTATCAATCTCAGTTGCTGCTGATAAGGGAACTTTATCAAGGGACTCTCACTAATGAGTCTCAATTGGCAATAGCAGATTAACCAGGAGCAGACATGTGCCTGCTATTAGGTATTATTGTATCATTTTCAATGAGCTGCAGATCATTGGAAAGATAATTGTTAGTATGCCTTCAGGTGTGCCAACACAGAAAGGCCCTACAAAACCTACCATGATGTTCAGACCAGATCCCACCTCTTCCCCTAGTGTAAATCTTCCATTCTCAGTGGATTATTTTACTGTGTCCCATTACTGGGATTTTGTTCTGAAGCTCTGTCAGATGCGGTGTGCCCCTGCAGAAGAAGGAACTGGAATTACTTTGGTTCTGCATGAACAGAAAGCTTCTGCAGGAAAGGTAGGTTATGCAACACAATTGCAAGCTCCTTGGGGCATGGACCATCATTTGCACTGGGTCCCATTCTGTGCCTCACTAGGTGTTATAGCAATGCAAATAAGTAATACTAATAATTATTTCCTCTCTGCTTACTCATCACCTTCTTCATCTGTGTGGCAAGATACCCACAAGGGAAACAGGTGGCTTGACTTGACTATTTTACAATCCAGACTTTTGTCACCTACTTAGAAGAGACCTGAAAAGGGAAACTGAATTAGGGGTTTGTGCCCTCTTCCTCTTTTGTTTCTATCTTATGTATAGAGATTATGGGTCTAGAACATCCAAGCTCAAACCTCACTCTGGTTTGAGGCTCATGCTGAAGGCTGCCTCCATTATACTCAGCTGTAGATAGGACTATCTGGCTGTTCAGGCTTTTTTCCCCCAAAATATTTAATTCTATATATATAGAAATAAATATATATCTATACCTCTACCAACTTGTCTTGTGACCAATATGGTTCACTTGACAGTCCAAAAAACAGCTTTACACTTACATCATTCTCATTCCTGTTACAATGACTGCACCACACAGCTATATACCCACACTCCTGTGTGTCCATGCACCTGTCACCATTACAATTATGCAAAGAAGCACCTTAGTGTCCTCCCTTCACCCCCCCAACTCCCCCTCCTGTTTCCACAATCCTTTCATTAGTCATTGTACTGGTCTTCATCATTGTCTCCATCTCTATCATTGTCATCATCCTACTCTGGCACTGCCTGTATGCCAAGGAGGTGTGGAGGAGACAAACCATACTCCTCCTGATGGTGACAGAGGTCCAGACCTTGACCAGAGAGGCAGTTCTGTACGGACACTTGACCAAGCAGCAAAGGACCCCGGCAGCACGCTTCGACCAGTTCATCTCCTGCTTCAGGAACTCCCTGTGGAAGACCAGGAACCTGCTCATGAACAGACGCACAAATGCAATCAAGGGCTGCATCAAAGTGGGACTGAGTGAGGTGTACTCGTACTACAGGAAGACGGTAGAAGACGACAGAGAAGAGATGGTGGAGATCATATGGAAGAGAGGGGACTGGCAACAACGATGGTGATGATCTGGGGAGTCAAAGGCAGCTGGATGTGGTGCTAGCTGCATCCCTCCCTTGTGTGGCACCGGTGTGCCAATCCTGACCTGCTGTTAGGCTCTGGTAGGCCTTTGCCTTGACACCTCATAATACAGCAAATATTTTAAAAAACAAAAACCAAACCCAAAAACCCTCAACAGCACAGGCTCAGTTTTGCAATAAAGTTCCTTTACAGTTCACCATTCAGATTGTCTCAACTTCTCCTGGAGGCTGATGAGGTCAAGGAATACATTATACTAACTAAACAAGCAGATTGGGTAGCTGTCACACTACATCCTACTTGTGACCTATCCTTTAAAAGAAGGGTTACCCCTTTAACCCTACCCTTTAAAAGAAGCCTAAATTGGCGACAAAGTGTAACAGGCTTCTTGCTAACAGCAATCAGAGGATAATGAGAATTATTTGGGGCGTGCATGTTACAGCTCCCTGCAGTATTGCACATGGGCATAAAATGTCACCTTTCAGTTCTTTTTGATGAAAAGGATGATTTTTTCAACGTACCAAAGGGATTGGGCTCTGTGCAAGAGGATCTGCAGAATTTATTCATGCCAGTGATCAGGCTAGGTCTTTTCAAGCTTTAAAATCTATAAATCTAGGTTGTCACTGAAATTGTCCTCTATTTTTCTGCCTAGTTCTTTGCAAAGTTTATAAAGGAAAGCAAAAGAAAAAGACATCTTTCGTGTAAACCCAGATCAATCCTCTCAAAACAAGCTCCTGTGTCTAAGAAGCCTATTGCACTTGTAGTTTATATTTGCCTGGGGTTTCTCAACATGCACAGGGACGTCTCCATCCCTTGCCAAAGGCAGAAGGGGAGGGCTCAGGAGCTAGATTTACCCTGGTAAATATGGGCTATCTACTAGTGAGGTGCCTGGGGACTGGCCAAAGAAGCCCTGGGCTAGCAGCATATGTCATTTGACCCTGAAAACAGCTGTATATCACGTGCAATTCCTCTCTTTTCCAGGCTGGGATTTGAGAGAGAGTTTCCAGCGGGATAAATTAGCTAAATATTCTAAGAAGCAAATCCTCTGACACCTTTTCTGGAAGGAAAGAGATCCTGAATAGACACAAAAAACTGAAGCTTACATAAACCAGTTATCTGAAACAGATGCACCAGGTCCTTTTAATGCCCACAGGTTTGAAGTGGTAAATCTAACACTTTCTGGTTTATGAATAGGCACAATTTGTACACTCAGTAAAAGATGGGGAAAGTGCCTGACATTTACTTACTGTGCCAGGACTTGTGCGATCCCCGATTGTAATATCCTGCAAACAACACAGCTGAAATTACCAGCATGTTTTCCCATTAGTCGGACATAAAGGCCATATTCTGGCATTGATTTCTATGCAGAATCCCATCAGCTGATTAACAGCAGGATATATAGCATGTATTAATCATAAAGCTGCATTCCCAGTAAGGCTCCTTTCTTACTTGGTCTGCAGTTCTGAACTACTAATTACCACTATGCTAAATATGATTGTTTATTATTATGATTTAAGTTAGTCTTCAGAGGTCTTGAAACACAAATCAACCTCCTTTTTTTTTTTTATTCTGTAGAATAAATATGTTCTTCATGTATAAAGGAGAGAATGTATATTTATCCTTCTTAATAACCGTGGTAATCATGCTTTAAGTCTAACACTTTCAAGTGGAGCAATCAGGTGTCCCAAATGTAGAGATTGCTGCATTCTTTAAAGGGTCTGGCTGCTCTATAGTTAGCTACAAGTGAGGGGCATCACTCCATGTGTTTTGTGATGATAGCCAAATGACAAGCTGATAGGGTATTTAGGGCACTGCACGTCCAGTTGGTGTTATCTAACTACGGTCAGGAGTTTCAAGCATCATACCATACTCTGGGGCATTTTAGTTGCAGTGCTCTTTCTCTGACAAGAATGTATTGCTAATCAAGGCAGCTGGGGAACCAGCGTTAGCCCAGGGATAGACTGAGGCTATCAAATTCATTTTGTGTATTGGCAAGGAAATGGTCATGGCGCTTCAGCATCAGACATGGAAAAAGACATGGCGCTTCAGCATCAGATGGTTTGGCCTTCCTCCTCTGACGTACGGGTTATTTTGTGAGTACTAAAAACCGATCTCATGATTCTGTCCTGGGCCTGCCCTGTCAGAAAGGAAAGAAAACAGAAGCTAGAAGCATGAAGCAGCAAGCATTTCTCTTGACCGGTCCTGGCGTTAGCAATGATTATTGGACTGAGTCAGCAATAACAAATTGCTTTTTTCTTAGCTTCAGACTTGTCATGTGGGTGTGCAGAAGCTAACACCAGTGCACAGAAATGCTGCACCAGGAAGCTTTCTGACCTCCATGGTCAGAAAAATAAGGGAGGCAGCACACTTTCCCATGGACCCCATCCTCCTAAGCCAGTGGTTCTCAACCTGTTTAGGCTCCAGACACCTCATTAGACTCAAGATAACTTTGGAAAATGCCAGTTCTTAGTTTTCACTGTTTTCCTTTGGCTACAGAAAAACAACCGAACAATTCTTCTTTTGCAAAGAGCTAAGAAATGATGACAACAGGTCAGAATGCTATTAATTCAGTGAATTCCTGATTGAAATCTCTAGGCTGTTTTTGTGAAATGTGCTGGTATACCAAACAGTGCTGACATGGCGTGCCACCCCTGGCACGCTTGCAAGGATCCCAAGGCACCCCAGGGTGCAACACCCTTGCTGAGAATCACTGCCCTAAGCCATGACCTGTATTATCAGAGAGGTGCGTGTAAACAACAGCAGCAACCTCTTCTGCAAGAGTTTCATGCACTTATTAAGCTATTTGGTTCTAGTTTATCTCTAAGCATTTCTAAAGCATCCATCACTAATCTCCTTCCAAAATGAGCTGCCTGCATTAACTTAGGACATGATCCTGCACTAGTTAAGACAACCAGTGCTAGGGCCGGAAGGATTCTTTGCGGGAGGGCTGAGGAGCTACTTGATGAAGGTATCTGCACAACCCTGCTCAATCCTGAACTCCCAGGAACATCTATACTCTGAGTCGAGAGTTGTCCCCAAACCAACACCTCTCCCCTCCGGGAAGGTTTAGATGAGAAGCCAGACATGATAGCTCTGCCCAACAGTCACTAAAACTCAACACTGTGGAGTTTATTAACTGCACCAGGCCTTTATTGCTGCCAGGCAGATGCAATCCATGCCACAGGGAGGTGCAGAGCTCTTCCAACACTTAATCATAAAAAACATTAATCAGTAGATGAAGGACTGAAGCTGGAGCAGAGCGTGGGTATCAAGACTTCCCCAGACCATAAAGCTTTCATGGGAGAATTTAATCAGTGGAAGAAGCTGAAGGAAACCAGGGAGGTTTTTAAGAGCAACACAAATTCTTACCAGTGACTGGCCACAGATTTAACCTCTGACTAAAGGGCTCTATTTAGGAGGCACTTGGCAACTACCAATTTTGCCATGTGAGAAGAATGCTGCGTGTATTCAAACTGAGTGGTTTTAAAGGACGCAGCTCATGATTTGGGTCTGAGAAAACCAGATTCTCTGCTCAGTGGATCCAGCTGCGTGCAATCAAACACAAAGCTGAGCAGCGCCCATGTCCCAGAAGGCTCTTGCCAGTTCTTGTGCTGAGCCCAGCTCGACTGTACCAAAGATCTGAGGCCAGTAAGACTGCTAGTAATGAGAGAGAAAGAGAGAGACTTTCTAAAGAGATGGTTTCCTCCCTGGTTGCATTGCAACTGCTTGGACCATACCAGGCACTTTAACATGCAGTTGCTCTTCAGAGATCATCCTCTGCATGCAGCATCCTAGCACAGGACACTTTCAGCTTGCTTTCCCCTGCTCTTGAGAGCCTCATCCCACTCCCATACTCTTGCTCAAACCAGAAACAGAGGCAGAGAAGCTACCCCAA